ACATTTTTCACTTAAAACATTAAACAGTGTTTTTTTTTGTTTGTTTGTTTTGTGTGTTTTTTTAGTAAAAATTCTTTACAAATAATAATTTCAAAATTTAAGGTAGTTTTTAAACTACTCAACAATTTAATTATCCATCCCTTTAATGCCGAACAATTAGCTTACTTCCATTTTTTCACTCTCATGAATAACACTTCCATATAAAATCCTGGAAATTTTATTTATTTTTTATATTTGTGTTTATTTACTTAAAATAGCTTCCTAGAGGTAACGTCACCAGGTAAGAGTGTGCACATTTTTAATCCTCTTGGAACAGATTTCTGCGTAGCCCTTCAGAAATGCTATAAAAACCTATCCTCTGGGATGTGTTAAATTCATGCGATTGCCTTCCTGTTCGCTTCTGCGAGGAGTCCAGCAGTTGACTCCATTGCCAAAAAACAGCTACTTTGGAGAGTAGACCTTGGGACCTGACCAGCATTCACTTCCTTTTCCTAACAGTGCCCCAATTCCTTTTGGGAAATTTGCCTCTGCCCTTTGTGCAGTCCTGATGGGACTCCAGAGTTGGAAGGTAAGAGAGGATGATGATGGAGAAGCCAGGGTAAGAGTGCCCACACCCAGGTTCTGCCCTCGTTCCTGTGCTCCCAGGGTCAGGGCCTAAGGCCCTGTTTCAATGGAAGGCTCACCTCTGACCTGAGGCCCACCCTCTACCGTGGGTCAGGCCAGGGCTGTAGTGCCAGGCATAGGGAAGATGCCCAGCATTTACTCACTGAAATGACCAAGGAAGGTGATGAGAGAGCCTGAGAGAGAGAAAGGGGTCTGTAATATGCACCAAGGAATTTGCTTTTTGAATAATAAGAATTATATGTCACGAGGACCATCAGGAATTTAGAGATGCTTAGGTGGGGCATGGCCAAAAACAGGTTGGGAACCACTGGGTTAGAGTGACCCTTTCTCACGCTAGGTTTGTCCTGCCATCTAGTGGCGGGCAAAGGAAAATGGGCAGGGACCAGACCACCAGCAGAGGGCAGTCAAGGCACGAGGAACTTGCAGGGGGAAGCCAGTGGGTGAGCAGGTGGGTGAGGGAGACCTGGAGCAGCCCGTGGGCACCTCAGAACTCCAGTACTGTGTAAAAGCAGCAAGGGCAGGAATTAGTCTTGATAATTACAGCTACCGTTTATTGAGCACTTGCTATCTACCAAAGATTGTCCAAAGAGCTTTCCATGCTTTCAATCTTTCAGTCCTTCTAGCAGCCCCTTATGAGGATGAGAAAACTGAAACCCAGAGAGTTTAAGTGACTGGCCCCAGTTCACCCAGCCAGTAGTGGAAGGTCAGGAATTGCATTCAGTATGATCTTACTTCTTGGCTTGCGTTTCCAGGAACACTTCTAGAATCATAGGGAGAGATTTCCTCCTGCATCCCTTCTGTGCCATCTCCTGTCCTCCCCAAATCCATTCCCTGTGGTCAACAGAGGGTGGGGGTTTTTTCCCCCGCAATGGCTCACAGCCTCACTTCTACCCTCTGTGCCCCTCTTGAGTCCCCAAGTGTGTACTCTGAGCAACTCCAAAAGGAAGCTTTCCTCTCTCTAGGCCTGGAGATTGTCTGTTGGGGAGACGACAAGATGGTGGGGAAGTCCCTTGTCTACAGACAACAAATATAAAATGTTTAAAGCTAACATTCCCTGTTCTTTCTTTCCTCTTATTGGTCAAGTGTGATGGGGATGCAAACCAGGGCCCTAAACGACACCGTCTCATCTCATCGATGTGAGAGAGACATATCGACTGCCTCCCAAATGTCTTCACCCAGGGTGGGTAACTTGCAACCTAAGTAGGTGCCCTTGACTGAGAATCGGACCCAGCATCCTTCAGTCTGTAGGCTGATACTCTAACCACTGAGAAAAATTGCCAGGGCCTAAGTGCTTTCTTTCTTTTTTTTAAAATATATTTTATTGATTTTTTTACAGAGAGGAAGACAGAGGGATAGAGAGTTAAAAATATCAATGAGAGAGAAACATCGATCAGCTGCCTCTTGCGGGACACCCCTACTGGGGATGTGCCCACAACCAAGGTACATGCTCTTGACCAGAAGTGAACCTGGGACTTTTCAGTCTGGAGGCGACACTCTATCCACTGAGCAAACCGGTTTTGGCTCTATGTGTTTTCTTATCAGAGTGGTCTACGCTCCAAAGGCTACAATGGCTCCTCTTCAGTTTGTGGTTGGCTTTGTGTCATGCTAAGGCAAGGGGACCTTCTAATCATGTAGCTCCAAGCCAAACCTAAATACTGTAAGATTCGCTTCCAAATCCCAAAAGAGCTTCTTGTGCTTTGTAGGAACAATGGCAGGGCTGGCTGAGGGCTACCCCAGCCTTGTTCCAAAGGCCAAAAGAGCCAGCCAGCCACCCAGCAAGCACACAAGGAAGCCATGTGACCTGCAGACACTCACTAGTTCAGGGACACTGAGTCCTGTTTAGGAGACAGCAGCCTGGCCCACCAGATGAGTAATAAAACACCTATTTTTAGGTTAGGGTTTTGTTCTGTTTTTTCCTTTTTAGAAATTTATCCAGACCCGTTTCCTAGGGTTGAGAGCTTGAGCAGCAGTGAGTTTACTGCTCAAAGGGTAAGCAGAGAGCAGTCTGAAAAGGAGAGTGGTCTTCAAATGCACTTGGACTTCAATTTCCCCTCAAGAATCAAAATGCAATAACTTCAACATATTTCCTTCAACACAGACATACCACTGGGTGCCTTGAAAGACCCAAAAGGCTGATATTTGGCATCTCCAAGGCTTCTTTCTTGGAGAGTCAGACCCACAGGCACCGCCATCTTTGCTCAGCCACTCCCAACACCAGTCACTGCCTGCCTGCCTCCCCCAGAAGTGGACAATCTCTGGCCCTTTAAGTACCACTTGCTGGTTCTTAACACTCTCCAACTTAGACACCTGTTTATTTCCCTTTCTTGCAATGATATGATCCATTGGCTTTATTCACTCAATTAGATAACCAACATTTATTGATCACCTATCATGTGCCAAGTACCAGGATATAAAGGAGTGCCAGTTACTCACAGCCAAGAGGAAAATTAGTAAATGAGGCATAGAAAATGCTAAGCCAGAGATATAACAATACTATGGGGGCCCTTCCCTCACCTCCTCTTTCCACTTCCCTACCTTTCTCCAACCCTTGCCTCAAGCTCCTGCCTTCATCCATTGCAGAGCCTCTGGGTTTGGCTTGGAGCTACATGATTAGAAGGCCCCCTTGCCCTAGCATGACACAAAGCCAACCACAAACTGAAAAGGAGCCATGGTAGCCTTCGAAACATAGACCACTCTGGTAAGAAAGCATATAGGCCCTGGCCATTTTTCAGTGTTTCCCAAACTTTTGATATATGTGTACCCCTTCTATAATTTTCGTAACGCTGAGTACCCGTCATACTCATGAGAATGTAGAATTAGGCACAGCTAAGCACGGTGCAGTGCATATGCCCACCAAACTCCGCTGCAACGTGTACCTCCACCAAACTTCCCGTACCCCTTGGGGTACGCATACCACACTTTGGGAAACACTGGTTAGAGCATCAGCCTACAGAATGAAGGATCCTGGGTTCAATTCCCAGTCAAGAGCACCTACCTAGGTTGCAGAGTTACCCAGCCCCAGTGGAGGCATGTGTGGGAGGCAGCCAATCGATGTGTCTCTCTCACATCGATGTTTCTCCTCTCACCCCCCCATTCCTCTGACTCTTCCACTCACTCTAGAAATCCATGTAAAAAAATATCCTCGAATGAGAATTTTTTTAAAAAGGAAAGCACATAGGAAAGAGAAGTTCCAAATTCACCATCAGTACTGGTGCCAAAAATAAAGTTTGTGGAATGCCTAAATCAGTGGTGGGAAACATCCAGCCCCCAGGCCATATATGGCCCATGAAGTCATTTGGTCTGGCCCTGCAAAGTCATTAGGAGTGAGTTAACTGAATGTTTGACCGAATATAGCAGCTAATTTTTAAGTTGTTAATTTTGTATGGCCCACAGATGATGTTCTAAATATCCAAAGGCCCTTGGCAAAAAAAAAAAAAAAAAAAAAAAAAAAAAAAGCCCTTGGCTTAATTGAAGGACAGAAGAATGAATAGATGAATACAGATATTGAATGATGATTCAAAAGTTGGTTTAATGAATTAAACAGAGAATGTGAACTTTCAACCCTGAAGCAAAACTGAATGTTGGAGTTTTTAATACTTGTGCTTGTTCATTGAACACCATGTTCTCCCAGAAAGTTATTGACAAAGGTTTTCTGTTGTGTTGGTTTGTTGTCGTTTTTTGGTGTGTTTTTTTAAAGAAATTAGCCCCACACGAGTGGCTCAGTGGTTGAGCACTGACCTATGAACCAGGAGGTCATAGTTCAATTCCTGGCCAGGGCATATGCCTAGGTTGTAGGCTCGGTCCCCAATAGGGGATGTGCAGGAGGCAACCAATAAATGATTCTCATCATTGATGTTTCTATCTCTTTCTCCCTCTCCCTTCCTCTCTGAAATTAATAAAAATATATTTTTTAAAGAAATTAAAATTACTTAGTTCACTGAGAATATGACAACACACTTGGGGGGAAAAATAAAAAAATTAAAAAAACTGGAACTGCCAAGGAGAGGTTCAGAGCCAGGGTGCTGGATGAGTTAGGCAGGAGAAAGCTGAGTGGCCACCCCCCATTCATGTTAGGGAAGAAGCTCCAAGCTCCTCAGGCCAGAGTCTGATGAGACGACTTGGCTGTTGGGGGGTCAGAGCTACAGAAGGGGCCAGTTTGGGACTTCTTACTTAACCAAAAGGTGTACCATCCTGATCACTAGCTGCAAAGTTATATGTGAATCAAATTTCCATGTTTCCTACTTAAGAGAGTATTTCAGGAACAGCTTTGGAGTTGTAATCAATTGCATTCTAACATATCTGTTCTGTAAATGGAGATGTGCTCTACGAGGGCCAGAATCAGGGAAAAGAAAGTTATCCGGGGCCTCTGTGAACAGTTAAATGCCCATCAAGGCTTCCTTGTTCTCTGAGACAAACCGGCTGAAGCTTTTGACTTTGGGGTTTAGTTGGTGGGTGAGCTTGACATCACGGTCTGGCTTCATATGATAGAAACGAAACATGTTGGCCATTTCCTCCGCTCCGGGAAACCCCAGCTTCTCATAAGCTTCCGGCGTGATCTTTTAAGAACAAGTTTAAAAAAAAAAAAAATTATAAATTTTTTAAAAAGGAAATGTTTTAGCTCTCATTGAAAATAGTTTGATTAATAAATGATTCACCGTAAAGATGATATAGGTCCACCGTTCTTCAGCCTAACTCCAAAACCCAAGAAGCTCTCGAGGTTTTTTTCATAAGCAATTTGACAGCAACTGACTTTTCTGAACTGATTCTGATCTGAACTTTGAAGCTATTTATGCTTTTCAATGCTGCCGTTTAGTGGGGATAGTCATATATTTTTCTGCAGAGATATTACAGGTTCTTGTCCTGCCCTTGATAGTGACATTACATAATACATCTAGAACACAATCTAGCTAAAAGCTGCAGCTTCTGAAAGCCAAATTGTTTCTGGTCCCAAGCATTTTGGATAAAAAACTATAGATCTGTCCTCCCTTCATCTGACCTGCTTTCTTATCTTTTCTTTTCTTTTCTTTTCTTTCTTTCTTTCTTTCTTTCTTTCTTTCTTTCTTTCTTTCTTTCTTTCTTTCTTTTATGCTGAAAGGCATATGAATCAATCTGTAGTGAGTTTCTTTCTGACCTGCTTTCATATACATTCCCTCAGCAGCCATCTCAGACAGTCTACCCACCTGGACCTCCGCCTCCATGCAGTACTTGGGCACCAGGTTCTCTATCCTTTCCTCTTGGCTGATGCCCTTTCATCATCATTTCAATCCTTGATTAGAAATGAGCATCTTGACTTCAACCATCCCAGACTCTGCCAGGCCCAGGTTCAAACAAATGCTACTCACCACACACTTACTGAGCTGCCTTCTGTCACCTTCCACACTACCCACCCCTGCAGTCCCTCTGCCACTAACTACATCAATAGTTTCCCCTCCTGAATTACCTAAGACCATTTATAACTATTGGATCCAGTGTAATCTGTCTTTAGCCCCCCAAAATAAACTCTAACCTTACTATTCCACTTGGCCTTTGAAATTGTGACACACAAACAACTCATGGTCACTCTGGCTGGTTTGGCTCAGTGGATAGAGCATGGGCTTGGGGACTGAAGGATCCAAGGTACAATTCCAGTCAAGGGCACTTGCCTGGGCTATGGGCTCTATCCCCAATACAGATAGCCAATCAATGATTCTCTCTAATCATTGATGTTTCTATCTCTCTCTCCATCTCCCTTCCTCTTTGAAATCAATGAAAATATTTTTTATAAAAAAAATGATTGTCATATGCCATTTATAATATGGAAAATTAAGAAAAATGTGCCTGCCCTGGCCAGTTTGGCTCAGTGGATAGAGTATCAGCCTGTGGACTGAAGGGTCCCAGGTTCAATTCCGATCGAGGGCATGTGCCTTGGTTGTGGGCACATCCCCAATGGGGGGTGTGCAGGGGGCAGCTGATTGATTATTCTCTCTCATCAATGTTTCTAACTCTCTATCCCTATCTCTTCCTCTCTGTAAAGAAATCAATAAAATATTTTTAAAAATCAATAAAATATATATTTTTTTAAAAAGAAAAATATGCCTATGCAAAAACAAGAAATGGCAGAATAAATTTTAGTCTATATATACTTTAAGAATATTGTGTAGTTATTAAAATTAATGTTTAAAAGAACTTTAACAAATGCTCATAATATAACATTAAATGAAAAAGCTAGATACAAACATATAGATATTGGAAAAAGACTAGAATATAACGTGTCAGATCTTATTAGTTGCTATCTCTGAGTACGTGATTTTTGGTTTTTTTCATAATTTTCTGTATTTTCTGAAATGAGCATTTGTATTTGAAATAAGAAAACAATTTAAATGTTTAGTAAGAAGACTACATGAAAAGCATGGAAGATGACCTTGACAATGTCTCTCTCCTTGAGTTACTCCCTCATCCTAGAACTTTGACAACTAATATTCCTAGTAAAATACGGGAGTCTTTTCTGCAGATTTTTGAAGAAAAGAGATTTTTGTTTGTGTCTCACTTTCTGAGAGGACCATGTTCTTTTTGGGGTTGGACAGACAGTTTCAGCCAGACCAGAGTTCCTGATGGGAGTCTGTTCCAGGGCATGCACTCACTGAAGCAGTTAAGCCTCCTTCGGACCAGACTGGCAGGGGAGGTCAGACTGCCAATGCTGGAGCGCCACCTTGTGGCCACATGCATCCTTCCCCAGAGTAGCATGATGCCTAAGCATTTCCCCCACCACTCTAGAACCCTGGGCAGCATCTTCAAGTCAGACTAGTTACTAAGCACTGCATTAACCATTCTGTAGAACTTCCAGCTTCGAATGCCCTAGAACTTTTGGTGCTAGAGAAGTTCTGCTGAATTGTGAAATAACTTGATGTACCAAGAAGAGTCGGGGACCAAGTATGCGACTCAGTGATGCTTGGAAAATTCTGAGCACATCCACCTGGCCCTCTGAGAATGAGCACTCTCCACATGCCCACACCCCTTCCCCCTTCTTTCCTTCTTCCATACAGACTTCAAACCCCATGAAACAAAAGAATTATAAGGCCCAAATGCAAATGCCCTGGAGAGGGGTCAGTCCTGGGAAGTATATTTACACCAGGTACAAGTGACTTTGCAGATTCTCTCATGAGTCCATCTTTTGTGTGATTGGCTGTCATCTTGAGTTTGGGAGTAACTTATTTTCTTCATTAAAGACACCTATAATAATGTTTTAGGGTTTCGTAGCCTCCTTGTAGCTCCTGTTTCTGACTCTGAATTGGGAAACTAGGTTACCCTTCATGACTCAAGACTCACTGGAAGCAAGAGTTAAAGATGAAAAGAAAAATCAGCTTTCTGGGCCTAACTCTAGGAAACATTCTAGAGTGGGTGTCAACAAAATGTTTCCTAAAAGGCTAGATACAAATATTTAAAGCTTTGTGGGTCATATGGGCTAAGTCACAACTACTTAATTCTACCAATGTATCATGAAAACAGCCAGAGACAATATATAAATAGTGGTGTTGCTGTGTTCCAATAAATCTTTATTTTAAAAAAGCAGGTGGTAGGTCCTAATTGTGGACCCATCCTATAGAAAGAATGGGTCTGACCTTAGAAATCATCCAGAAAACACTCATTTTACAGATGGTGGGATGCAGCCAAGAGAAGCAAAGAGGCAGGCTAGCCCATGCCTACCAGCTTGAAAGAAGGTATGGAGCCTCCTTTCAGCTCTGAGGGTGTCTCTGAAAGGCACAGATACTTCCTTCTCAGAAGCCCTGTTCTCCTTCCTCTTATCAACACCTGCTTTGGAGAAATGGCTGGTGATGTGGTATCATCAGTTCCTCTCACTTTTCTGTATAAGGTCTGTCCTATCCACGCTCTAGTCTAGGCCATTCCCACCTGACTTATACCAAGATCAATTATCAAGGACTTACTAATTGCCAACCCAGTGCCAGGTGCCTGTCATTTATATATCATGTCATCCTCTAAGCAATCTTATTAGGTACTAGAGGCCCAGTGCAAGAAATTTGTGCATGGGTAGGGCTCCTAATGGCTGCCAGCTGGGGCCTCCCTTCATTTCATGCTGCCCCATAGTAGTCAGCATACATCATGGTGAGTGATCGAACTCCCAATTGGTCGAACTCCCAAGGGGACACTTTGCATATTAGGCTATATATATATATATATATATATATATATATATATAGAGAGAGAGAGAGAGAGAGAGAGAGAGAGAGAGAGAGAGAGAGAATAACTTCTTTTACCAAATGAGGTTAAGTAACTTGCCAAGATTCCACAGATAGGTAAGGGCAGAGCCAGGATTTGCTCACTTTCTCATACTGCCTCTGGTTCATCCATGTGGATTTAGCCAGGCAAGAGTTTAGAATTCTAGAATTTAGCCAGGACAGCGCCATCATTCCCTCCACCTAAACACAGTCTTGCCCACCCTCAAGGACACCTCAAAGCCACTTTTTCCAGGAAGTCTTCTCCTACCCTTCTTTGGTCACAGAGACTGTGGACAACACAATTAAACACCGATAGTGTTATAGCTGTACTGATCCCTGTAACTTCATGTGCATTAACATTTTCACTGTGATGTAAACTCCTCAAAGATAGGTACTTGCTATATACCAATAGGTATGTACATACCACACACTGTGCTAAGCCCCTTAAATATATTCTCTCTAATGTCCACAAGATCACCCTGAGGTAGATGCTACCAGCCCACTTCACAGTTGAAGAAGCTGAGGCTCAGAGAGGTAAGTGCCTTGCCCACACCCGAGAGCTCTGGCAGACTGGAATGATCAGCAAAGAGTGCTTATGAGAGAAGAGTTGGGTAGTGTATATGAAAAAGTTGAACCTCAGTCTTCAGATTCTAAATTCTTGCCACACAGAAGTAAGTTTACTCTAACAAGCTGATTAACCTTAAGCTAAAGAAATAAAACCATAAGAGTGGGATTTAGATGCACCAATACCAGATAGATTGGTGGAACTGAAATCCTCTTAAATTTCTGCTGACAGCCTAAGCTGAACCCTTGCCTAAATTCATTCAGAGTTTACCAGAATGTCTGAGTCAGTGGGGTGTGAGCCAAGCTGGACTCTTATGATCACATTTATATCGTCTAAGAACTCACCTTTGCATCTCGGATATCTTTCCCCAAAATCTTGGACAAAACATCAGCATATTGCTGTACTGTTAGTGCTTCTGCACTGAGGCCCACAGCTTTGCCTAAGAACTCTTCTGGAGAATCAAAAATTCTAGAGACGACTGCTCCAATATCAGCAACAGAGATGCCATCCAAGGGAATGTCCCCCATAGGCAGTGCTAGTAAAAGAAAGAGAGAGAGAGAGAGAGAGAGAGAGAGAGACAGAGAGAGAGAGAGACAGAGAGAGAGAGACAGAGAGAGAGACAGAGAGAGAGAGAGGTAATTATATCACATCCTGGGTAGGTCTTACCAATTTGAATTAATTAACCATACACAAAAGGTAGAAAACCAATATAACACCTAGTGGCCACAATCTATGCAAAATTCATTACAAGGTTTAGTTTGAGCAAGTACCATAATGCCTGGGTATTGATTTTTTAAAAGCCACCATTTACTAAGCATCTGCTTTGTGCAAAGTATTATTAGTTACAATCTATAATCCAGATTTCTCTGCTGAATTTCAGGCTCTATTGACCAATTTCCTGCGCAACGTCCTTACTTGATTGTTTAATAAACATGTCAATGTGCTTCAAAATGAATTCCTATAGCACCACCACCTCCCCTCCCCCCAACAACTTGCTCCTCCTACAGACTGCCCCATTTCAAGTCTATCATTACAAGTGACTGCCCCATTTCAAGTCTATCATTACAGACTGCCCCATTTCAAGTCTATCATTACAGACTGCCCCATTTCAAGTCTATCATTACAAGCTGACTTTAAGATTTTTGACTTGAGAAACTGACTTTAAGATTTCAAAAATCTTAAAGTCAGTTTCTCAAGTCAAAAATCTTAAAGTCAGCTTGACACTGGGGTAGGTGGGCACTCTTTCTGCTGATCCGCCCTCTGGAGCCTCGCCTTCAGGTCCCCATCTCTGCTCCCTCGGCTGCCTCCTGGGTCTCTCCCCTCGCCACTGAGCCACCTAGGACTGTGGACAAAGAAAATGTCTCCAAAGGGCAGAGGAAGTCCAGCCAGTGGACTGGAGCATTAGACTTATTAGGAATCCTTCTTAAAACTATAGCACTCCTGGCCCCAGTCTAGACTTTCAGAATCAGATTCTTTCTCTAGAGAGTCAGGGCCCCTCTAGGGATTCAGACCATTGGACTCAGGTCAAGAGGAGCATATTTTCCCTGTTGCTACCATAGGTCCAATGGATGAGCTAGAAGGAACCTTAGAAGTCACCTTATACTATCCACTATGACTCAGTGGATAGAGCAGCAGCCCAGGGAATGAAAAGTCCTGGGTTTGATTCAGGTCAAGGACACATATCTCTGATGCAGGCTTGATCCCCAGTTCTGGTGAGGGTTCTTGCAAGAGGCAACCAATCCATATGTCTCTCTCACATTGATGTTTCTCTCTGTGTGTCTCTCCTTCTCCCTTCTACTCTCTCTAAAAATCAATGGAAAAATATCCTCCAGTGAGGATTAACAAAAAAAAAAAAAAAGGTCATCTTGTCCAACTTTTCCATTAGACTTGAGGAAACTAAGGCTTGAGGTTGCACAGCTAACGGTTTGTATAAAGAGCACCCGATTGTTCAGACTGGAAGTAAAGTCCTTTGTGTTTGTTTCCAGTCCAAGAACCAGTTCTCTGTGAAGTTTAAAACAATATTGTATGCCTCTCAGCACTTCACACAGAGGTAAGCACATAGTAGGCACTCAGATGATTTATGTCCACTGAAAAGAGGGAGGAAAAGGACAAAAAAGGAGGAAGGGAAGACAGCAGGTGTCTGGTCAACTTTCACTACAAATTCCACTTACCCAAGGTGTAGTAATCTCCCTCAGAGGCTTTCTTGGGCTTCCATATAGTGAGGAAGTTTTCAAAGTAAGCTGCCAAGTGGATGCTGGTCATGGGAACACCAATGGACCAGAAATATTCCTCCACCTCTCCCTTCCTATCAAAGTGATCAACCGCCAACTTCCCTCCAGTCAGACGCTTGACGTTCTCCAGGCCACTGAACACCACGTGCTTCAGACCTAGGCGCTTGGTGACATCTGCCACCAGCTTCCCCTAAGGAACAAAGTAAATTCTTCATATAGATCGCTGTATTCGCATATGGTCAGGAAGGCAGGTACTGCTTTCCCTTCCCCACTTCCTTTTCATATTGTCCTCCATAGAAAAGGAGCTCTTCCAGAATCAAAATACATTCAAGTTACCAACTTAGAGGCCACCAGTGTTGGTGGGCAAAGGCTCCACCATGTCACAAGACTGAACCTCATCAGAGGCTAAGAGGCAGCCTGGTAGGAATAGGCAGGAACATCTGGTCCTTAGAGTCTAGGCTATCAGTATCTTTGGATCAACTGCCACATTTATTTATATATGAGCCTCAGGGATACCTGAGTAAACAATATTCATACAGTGTAATAATTTTTTCTGCTAATTAATTATATCTGCACATCATTTGGATATTGAGGGGATAAAAAAGACTCTCTCTCTCTCTCTCTCTCTCTCTCTCTCTCTCCAAATTTTCAAAGGCACCTTCATCTCTCTCTCTTCTCTCTTTCTCTCTCTCTCCTCTTTCTCTCACTCTCTTTTTTCTTTCTTTTTTCTTTCCACTGTTTCCTTCTTTTTTTTCTTACAAAACCCCATGTAGCAAGTAGAAAAGACATAATTAATCTGTGTTTAGTAGAGGCATAAAGTGGGCAGAGAAGTGACTTTGTACTCATGGGTTTCATAGTAAGTGGATATCAGAATTAGAACCCAGAGTTCCTAATATGAGAAATTCCAAAGTTTATCACTAAAAGACAAGCTGTAAATGGTATAATTAATTTAACAGACATTCCTGAAATGGCTCACTCCTGCTTTTAATTGTTTGAATTATGCCATTTCTGCAAGAGACTGATTACATCAATTACATTTTAAAAATCTAATCTTCACATTTTTCAAATTTATACACATTTCAAATAGGAAGGGGGGAGGGAGTTGAACTTATAAGATGAAGATGTTCCCTGAGCCCTCATGCTGATAACTGCTCTCAAGAAGTAACCACTTTCATCTCTTTTAGCTGTTTCTTTATTTTTAAATAACAGGTTTGCACTACTAATGCTTTATTTTTTTCAGTTTAAGATATCATCTACTAAATTCTTACTCTGAAAGATGAGTCCTCATCTTTAATATTCTCTCTCTCTCTCTTTCTCTCTCTCTCTCTTTTCCTTTCTCTCTCTCTGACACAGACACACACAGCCAAACACCACCATACACATATATGCAATTCCCTTTTTTCATATTCCCAATATCATAATGTTGAGCTAAATCAAAAAGTAGTGCCTACAACACCGCTGAAGTTGAACCAAGTAAATATTCTATGGTTAAATTTATTTTTTTTCTACAAACTTTTCTTTTCTCTGGGTTTATTTGCTTTAGTTTTTTCTATGTACCCATTATTCATTTCTCCCCAAATTCTCTGCCAGAAGTAAAAATATACTCATTACATTTTTGTTCTTTCCTTTTCACTTCGGAGTTACCTTAGTTTGTGGGGTATCCTTCACATGTCATCTACAGACAAATGACTGGCTGCACTGCACAGTCATCCTCAGATGTCCACGGTCTTGAGATGTGGACATGTGCTTTAGAACACTAACTTCACAATCAAAGAAATACTTCAAGTGCATATATTTCATAAGTACCAGAGAGATTTTGTGGAGGCTCTTTTTGCTCAGTCTTAAGGCCCACCCCCTTCAAGAGAGGGCAGAACAGCCAGAAAGGGTAAGAGGAAAGGGCTCAAAGGTGTTCCCACCTGACACACTTCATCCTCCTTGCTGTGATGTTCCCAGTAATTGGTCACTAGGAAGACCCCATAGGCATCTTTTAAGGCAGCCTCCACCAGTGCTTTATCATTCAGGTCCCCTTTTACCACCTCAGCACCAAGTTCCTGGAGCACCAGTGCTTTTGGTTGAGTCACATTCCTGGTCACTGCTCTTACAGCAAACTTTTTGCTCTCCAAAAGAGTCCTGGCCACAGAGCCACCTTGAGATCCTGCAGTGAAGAAGAAACAGAGGAAGGTTCAGGAGGAATGTTCACTAAAAAAATAGCTGGTCAGGAATTACCACTATTCAGAGTATATCTATTATAATAACTATTTCAGGAGGCATTCCCATTTTTGCAACAGTGGAGCCATAGGAAAAAGTCCGGTCTCACTTCCTGGTCAGTTCCACTTCCTGGTTGAGCAAGAGCGCCAAAAAGCCTGCGCACAGCGCGCCAAGACTATAACCCTCCCACTTTAGAACAACCAACCAGCTAAGCACAAGTACCCAGCACCCAGCCAATCACCTTGTGACAACTCCTTCTCTTGCCCCTCCCCTCCCCTCCTGAGCGCTTATATACCGATGTTCTTGAATCAAAATTTTGAGGCTTGATCAGAACTTTGTCTTGCCTCCATTTCTCCGTTTCCCCGTCCCTTCTTTTCATCCTCCACAGGTCCTCCCTCTCCCCACGTTGTTATGCCCCGCGGGTCAAGGCAGTTTTCAAACTAGGTTCCTCACCGCCATCTCAGGGACACCTTTGAAAAGTCCACGGGGCCGAGAAAGAATGGGGAGAGGCCTGAGATAACAATTGCTGAAGCTCCTCACACAGGGCACCACCTTGCCATGGTTGACCAGCAGAGCTTGAGTGACAGATGAATGGATTACTCTGAGACATTTGCTGTGAAAGAGAGGCTAAGGGACCACCCGGCTATAGCAACAAGCAGCCTTGATTGCCTGCCTCATTAGGCTTTTATTGGAATTTTTATCTTTAGATACAATTAGTAGGGTGAGTAATCTTGGGAGGACACGTGTGTTTGCATTGTCCTCAAGGCAAGGGCACCCAAAGATTAGGCATAAGGATTCCAGTAAACACCCAGTGGCCTAATTTATGTACTCTACAAATATTTACTGAATACTTGCCTAATTTATGTACTCTACAAATATTTACTGAATACTCTGTGATATATGCCAGGTACTGTGCTGGGTTACTAACATTTGGGATTCTCTATCAAACTATTTGGATATCTGTCCTGTGTATGTTTTTCATGCCTTCAGATCTACATTCACCTTCTGCACCCTTCTTAGTGCCCTGGGAGGTTGACCTGTACTGTACTCCATCAATGGGCTCTCTTCATGCTCTCAGGTTTGGTCTGGCCAATAATAGGCATCAGCAGCAGGAAATCCAAGGACAGGAAGAAAGGTGGCTATCTCCATGTTGCTACTCTTCCTAGGTTTTGGTAATCTCTCAGGTCCTCTACTCCTTCCTCTTATTGCTTACTTATTCATTATTGGTCTCTTCCCTTTCAACTTTTATTTTTTCCTTGGCTTCTCTGAAAAAGTGTGACACTTATTTTGTGTGAAACCCCAAATGATGCACCACAGATAACCCAAGAGGTTCTGCTGTCAATGGGCTCTGCTTTTGCACGAGGAACTTCGGTTGGAGTTTAGCGCTCTAGTAGTATATATGAACACACAGCCAAAGGTCACCAGATGTTTGAAGAAAGCCTCCAGCAAAACTAAAATAAACAAATTGATAAAGGTAAGTATAAGCAATGCAGTGTATAAAAGAAAATTTTAAAGCATTAATGTCTTCAGAGGTTGGAGAAGATTTTGCATTCAGAATACTACATCTGCATATTGCACCAATAAAAAGGGAGATGGAGGCCGGAGAAAAGCATTCAGAAGAGAAAAGGAAGCTGTCAGAAATTTAAAGTATTATAGCAGAAGTAAGTTTCCCATGGAAAAAGTTGAAGAAATCTCTCAAAATTAAAAAGAAATGGAAAACAGGAAGGAGAAAATAGAGGATCAAGCCAAGGGAATTCCAGAATGAGAGACTAAAGAAAATGGATATATGGAATTATCAAAGGAGATAATTTTCCAGAGTTCAAAGATACTAAATGAGTTTTCAGATTAAGGGGCCACTGAGTGCCCAGCACAATGAATAAGTCTTACATTATTTACATAATATGAAATTTTAGAGATACTAGAAACTAGGGCTTCAACATATGAATTATTTTGGTGGGAAAAACAATTCAGCCCATATCACTGACTATTGTAACCATTTCCTAAAAATCCTTCTACTAAACTGGGTTCTCCTTGTTTTCAACCATGTGTTGAGACTATTCTCTGGCAAATTGCAAGTTTTCAACATCTATATGTTGAATGAGTGAATAAATGAATGAATGAATGATGTGAAAAAACTGAAACCTCTGTTTTCTCAACTCTTAACTTTGAAAGTAGACAGTCCTGCCTAAACCTGTATAAATAAGAATGAGCTGGACCAAAACCAGAACTGGCTCTCTTACCACTCCCATTTTTTATGTTTTACTAAGACCCAAACCAAAAAAAGTACTTATCCATCTTGGCCCTTTTCCTTTAAATTAGCAAGACATAACCATAAACTTATCAGCCCGATAAAGCAGCTCCCAAAGCACCCATTCTTGACATACTCATTTGTCCCAGACCCTCCCCATTTATTCTGGATCATTCCCTCTTGAACCCAGTTATCTTCAAGGTAATACCATATTGAGGACAGTGTCAACATAAAAAACATCCAAATCTGTAGAGAATTTTTGAAAGAGTTTACTTGAGTGCTTGCTTTGGCAGCACATATACTAAAATTATTTGAGCCAATTGATAACATATATCAGTGAGCAAAATCTTAAATGCTCTGCAGAATAACAGTTTTTGCAGTTTATTTTATGCATTTGAAATTAAGGAGGAAAAGAAAGGAAGATTACATGAAGGTAGCAGAAAAGGTGGGGATTAGATTGCAGGATAGTTAATAAGATTATGTGTTCTCTTGAGGGTGGTGTGTTAACCTTTGAAGGTCCATGCACAGAAGCAATGGACAGGATTAGTTTAAGGCCCAGATAAGCCCTTTTCTAAAGAACTTATATGCCTGATGTATGACTACCCATCATAATTTGTCCAGTTAGGAATTTATGGTCAGGTCACCCTGTGATGTCTTTTTCCATAGAACCCCTTTTTACATCCACAGTAGCATTTAAATGGCAAGCACTGTTCAGAGTTTGATGTGCAAACACATGTAAGGAAAGGGTTAAGACATGTTCCTGTCAAATTTAACTGGTCCCAGCCTGTGTGGCTCAGTGACTGAGCTTCAACAAATGAACCAAGAAATCACAGTTGATTCCCTGGGGTAGGTGGGCACATGCCTGGGTGGCCAGCTCAATTCTTGGTGTGGAACATGCAGGAGGCAGCCAATCAATGATTCTCTCTCATCATTGATATTTCTATCTTTCTCTTTCTCTTTTTCTCTGAAATCCATAAAAAAAAAATGTTATTTTTTATTTTATTTTAACTAGGCATCTTATATTTGTATCTGCTAAATAAGGCAACCCTCTATCTCAAACACCCAAACCAAGCATGCCAAACTCAAAGGCTAACACAGGTTTATGTTTATGTGGGCCACAAAAAAACAAAAGCTTAAATTTCCATAGAAACATAGCTTTATTTTGGTAGAGACATACTGAATACAAAGGGCTGAAAAATGAGCAATCGTTAACATAAAATAATAGAACATTTTAATAAAGTTAATACTTTTTTGAATATTAACTTACCAGACACTGAATAACGGTACAAATTAATAAGTGTAACGCAAATAAACCTATTTTTCTTGTATTGGAAAGCAAAACATTTCTTGTTGGGCACACCAAACAGGTCAGTATAAGACTAATGACGTGGCAATTGGCTGCTAAAATATTCGCTGCTAGTAGTAGTGGAGAGAAATGGTGCGCCTATGCATAAGGCACATAAAATAAATGAATGCAACACAAATGAATATAGTAATTAGTCACTAGCAAACATTGTAGTTCATTATTAATAATTACATATAATGAGATATTATAAAAATTAAGTTACAAAATTTTCATTAAAACGTTTTTTACATTCGGTTACATTGGCTGGGCTGCAAAAATATTTGTTGTGGGCCCCATGCAGCCCACAGGCCAAGAGTTTAACACGCTTGACCCAAACACTCCCAGAACTCCTCAGTAACTGAACTATGGACAATCCCTGGGCAATAAAGTGATCAGCCCACCCAGCCTCTTGGCTAAGTAGGAAGCAACTTTCTTTAACTCTGACACATCTAATCTGATCCCTTTAAGAGCCACTCCCAAGGTTCATATTCAACAGCCTAGGCGGCAACTCAAATTTGAGACAAAAACAAAACTCCCAGCATTTTTTGATCTGCCTCACTTAAATCCTAATTTGGTGAATCACAACTTGATCTTCCATTTGCTCAAGCCAGAACACTAAATTCATTGTTTGCTCTTTTCTTCCCACCTCTGAAAGCTGGTCTATCAGGTTATCCCTGTCAACTCTTTTTTTCTTTTTCTTTTCCCATTCTCATTTATCCCTTTATACCATATTTCATCCTCCACCCTCCTCTGCCCCTCCACCCTCCCTGCCCCCTTCCCTCACCCTCGATCACCACACCGTCCTTGTCAACTCTCTTTTAAAACATATCTGGAATCTGATCACTCCCTACCACACCTTTGCCACCATCCCCATCTAAGCCACAGTCATCTTGGTTGGACCATGGCAGAGCCTCCTAAAGGTCTTCCTGCTTCAGTCCTTGCCCCTATACCCTCTTCGAAAATCTGATCCTAAAATGATCCTTATAACGTAGAACTCATATCTAGTCACTCTGCTCAAACTTCTTTAATGGCTTCTTATTTATTTCAGGAAAATAACAATATTCTCACTTTCACCCTAATGCTTTATACAATCATCTCCATGTCCCATTTGCCTTTTTTTTTTCTTTTTACTAATACTTAATTGAATTTATTGAGATGACTTTGGTTTGCAAAACCATACACGTTTTACTACTGGAGAGAGGAGGAGACCTCCGTGTCAGGCATATTCTCTACCTTTCTCCTGTGGTCAGTACTTTTCCATTTGGTCCTGCTTGGGCTCTTGCCTTCCCTCTGGTTTTCCTATTATTCTCATTCAGGTTTTGTAAGATATGACTTAAAGGCTTCTACTTTCTAGTAAACCACTCACACCCAGCCTCTAGCCTATACCCAGTCCCAGCTATTGTCCTGTCCTGCACAGGAGATATAAATAACCTTCTCTCCCTACAAGATATATTGGTCTCAGCCCCCTGTGAGAGAATGTAATAAAATTTATTAAATACTCATCTCTTGGCACGGACCTAACACTGAGTTCTTGTCTTCTTAAAGGAAAGATTTCAATGAAGAGAAAAGCAAGCAAGAAATTATTAACCACAGCAAAAATATAGTTAGGTCGATTAAATAAAGAAAAGCATAGAAGAAGCAACAGGAGAGCCTAGGTTGGGCTGCTTTGTGCTTTAATGATTTAGTTTTCCTATTCTGCTTGACCTGGAATTTTTCTAGCTTATTACAATGCTATAACAGTTTCAAGTATACAACTCAAGAAAACATCTGCACACTGCATAGTGCGCCCATCACCCAAAGCAAAGTCTCTATTTCCATTACCCCCCTTTGCCCACCTCCATCTATGCTGACCCTCCTTTCCAACTGTTATCTGTGTCTATGAGTTATTTTTCATATATATTTTTGGACTAATCTCTTCACCTTCTTTCATCCAATCTCCTCACCCCTCTCCCCGCTTACGGCTGTTAGTTGGAACCATGCTTCTGTTTTTGTTTGTCAATTTATAGATTCCAAATATAAGTGAGATCATATGATGTTTATCTTTCTCTGACTGGTTTATTTCACTTAGTATAATAATCTCCAGGTCCATCCATGCTGTCTCAAAAGGTAAGAACTCCTTCTAAAGTCAATGTCATAACTGGCTGTTGGTTTTTGCAAATTTATTTCTCTCTTTTCCCTGCTTTAGTCCTTTCCTCTTTTCAGACAAAATTCCTTTGCTCATAGAGCTTATCTTCTCTTGTGGAAAGACAAGAAGTAAGAGAGGAAATCAAGCGGGAAGGGCAACCATATAACAGTAAAGGAGAGTGGAGCTGCAATTTTAACTATGGAGGTCTGGAAAGTGCTCATGGAAAGGGGGACATCTGAGCAGAGGTTTGGATGACATGAGGGAGGAAGCAGTGTAGGTAGCTGGAGATTGAGGAGGTGGCCAAAGCAAAAGACTTAAGGTAGGAGTGTATTGAGGAACACCTGAGCAAGTAAAGGAGAGGGTAAAAAGTTGGGGGCCCATTAGCTGGACTTTGTATTTTACTTCGAGTGAGATTGGGGAGGGGGAGGCAGTTGTTGGAGGGTTTTGAGCAGAGGCATGTCATGATCTGATAGTTTCAAATGGATCATCAGGAGGCTGAAATAAAAACAGATTGAATGGATGTGGCCTGATTTGATCAACATTTTGCAAAGATGGCTCTGGCTGTAAAGAACAGATTGTAAAAGAGAAAAGATTGAAATCAGGAAGGGCAGTTAAAAGGCCTGATCAATGATTCTCTCTCATTGATGTTTCTAACTCTCTGTCCCTCTCTCTTTCTCTCTGTAAAAAATCAATAAAATATATTAAAAAAAAAAAAAAAAAAAAAAAAGGCTCTGGCAGCAAATCCAGGCAGAAAAGTCACTCAGCACACATGCCTAACCCTCACCCGCTCCGTCCTTTCAGAATGGCTGGGGTATTGGTTAGGCACCAAGATATGCCCTACAGACCCACACTGGCTTCTTTCACTTGTCAGGAAGTGAACAGAGAACAATCTCCAGAGGATAGCTAATGTTGAAATGAAACATACCAAGTCAGCACATGACTGAGGAAGAGAGAATATGTCGATTGTCCTTGTCCTGCTGAGATCATTTCTGACAAATAAAATAAAATCACCAGCCCCTTTACCAAGCAATAGGACACTTTTCTTAATTTCCTCCAAAGGGCAGAAAAGTCACCCACACTGGCAGGCTCTGACTTTAAAAAAAAAAAAAATAGGAAAGTAAGCAATCAGCATACACTTTAAAAGTAAGTTTTTTACCTGTTGCTCCAAACACTGTAATTATCTTCTTGCTGGTCATGTTACCGGACAAAGAAGGAGTTAGTGGAGTAGCTGAACTTTCCTCAAGCAGCAACAGCAACTATAATAATTCCTCTTCAAGCCTGCAATTTTAACTATGAGAGCTATAAGCCACTTCTGATTACCACACCCCTTATTGTGCTCCTCCTTTGTATAGTTTTGGGGCTGTTCCCAGCTAGCTTACTCACTCACTCATGTGCTCAGCAAATGTGTATTGAGTGCCTTTGGTTTATTAAGCATTGAACTAGAAGTCCTGCCAATTCAGATCTTTTAAGGGAGATAAACTAGTAAATAAAAATACAATAGAGAGGCCTGGCCAGGTAGCTCAGTTGGTTAGAACATCTGACCAATACACGAAGGCTGCAGTTCAATCTCCGATCAGGAAACATTCAAGAATCAACCAATGAATGCATAAATAAACAGAACAACAAATCGACCTCTCTCTTCTCTCTCTGAAAATCAATTTTAAAAAAAAACAAAAAACTACAGTATAGGGAAGTGGCAGAGGGGACATAGGTTATGGAGGAAAGACATAAAACCCAGACTGGAGGTGTTAAGGGAAGGTTTTTCAGAGATGCTGCTGCAGTTGCCTGAAGACCATCAACAGAATAGAGAACTGCATATATTGTGTGATTCAGGGTTGTAAAGAAAATATTATACACACTTATATAGACTACAACTAGTTCATTTTGTGCAATATGCTGGTAGTAGAGTCAGAGGACTGGGCATGATGTGACATTATTACTCTCACTCTACTACCAACATATTGCAATAAATGGATTAAAGCATAATACTATGACATGCACATTTTTTAAGCTGATTTAAAAAAAAAAAAAGAGTTGCCGCCCCAGCTGTTGAAGAAGATGCATGAACAACAGGTCTGCCTGGCTGTACCCACTAAATTCTGATGTCTAAAACCAGTTTTTCCTGCTTTTGAATCTTATAGAAATTTCTCCAACAGCTGGGGCATCCCCACCTTTGGTGTTTCTGGTGTAAATTACTTGAGCTCTGTGCTTTGAAACTAGTTAATAAGTCCTTTACTAAGGAGCTCCTGAAGGACTGCCCTGACCAAGGAGCTGCAAACCTTCAGTCTCTCGGAGACAACAGCTGAGGTTATAAGCTTATACTTGGGACCTTCCTTACAGAATTTGTCATATGCTGCTTTGGCAAACAAGACTAGGCTATTGAGCTTGTCCCAAACTTAGCCTTTGGACGACTTCTTCTTTTTTTATTTTATTTTATTTATTTTTACATATTTTATTGATTTTTTTTTTGCCCCCCTCCTTCCTTCCCACATATCCCCTCCCTCCCCAGAGTTTTATGTCCATTGGTCGTACTTATATGCATGTATACAAGTCCTTGGGTTGATTTATTATCTCCCCCAGACCCTCCTCCCCTCCCCGCTGTAATTTGACAGTCTGCTTGTTGCTTTACTGTCTCTATATCTATCTTTTGGTTCATCAGTTTATAATGATCTTTATTATCCACAAATGAGTGGGGTCATGTGGTGTTTCTCTTTCATTGATTGGCTTATTTCACTCAGCATGATGTTCTCCAATTCCATCCAGGTTGCTGCAAATGGTGAGAATTCCTTCTTTTTTATGGCAGCATAGTATTCCATTGTGTAGATGTACCATAGTTTTTGGATCCAATCATCAGCTGACGGGCACCTTGGCTGTTTCCAGATTCTGGCTATTGTAGATTGTGCTGCTATGAACATAGGGGTGCATATATCCTTTCTGATTGGTGTTTCCAGTTTCTTGGGATATATTCCTAGAAGTGGGATTACTGGGTCAAATGGGAGTTCCATTTTCAGTTTTTTGAGGAAACTCCACACTATTCTCCACAGTGGTTGCACCAGTCTGCATTCCCACCAGCAGTGCACGAGGGTTCCTTTTTCTCCGCAACCTCGCCAACACTTGTCGTTTGTTGATTTGTTGATGTTGGCCATTCTGACAGGTGTGAGATGGTACCGCATTGTTGTTTTGATTTGTATCTCTCGGATAATTAGTGACTTTGAGCATGTTTTCATGTGCCTTTTGGCCTTCCTTCTGTCTTCTTTTGTAAATATTCTATTTAGGTCCATTGCCCATTTTTTAATTGGATCATTCATCTTCCTTTTATTTAGTTGTATCAGCTGTCTGTAGATGTTGGAGATTAAACCTTTATCAGTGGTGTTATTTGCAAATATGTTCTCCCACACCGTGGGCTTTCTTGTTGTTTTGTTGATGATTTCTTTTGCTGTAAAGAAACTTTTTATTTTGATGTAGTCCCATTTGTTTATTTTCTCTTTAGCTTCCATTGCCCTAGGGGCAGTATCAGTGAAGAAGTTCTTTTGGCATACGTCTGAGATTTTGCTGCCTGTGGATGCTTCTAGTATTTTTATGGTTTCCCGTCTGATGTTTAAGTCCTGTATCCATTTTGAGTTTATTTTTGTGTATGGTGTAAGTTGGTGATCTAGTTTCATTCTTTTGCATGTGTCTGCCCAATTTTGCCAACACCATTTATTGAAGAGACTGTCTTGACTCCATTGTATATTCGAGCCTCCTTTGTCAAATATTAATTGAACATAGTGATTTGGGTTGATATCTGGGTTCTCGATTCTATTCCATTGATCTATATGTCTGTTCTTGTGCCAGTACCAGGCTGTTTTGAGAACAGTGGCTTTGTAATACAGTTTGAAGTCTGGTATTGAGATCCCTCCTACTTTACCCTTCTTTCTCAGGATTGCTGTGGCTATTCGGGGTCTTTTATTGTTCCAAATGAACTTTTGGAGAGTTCTTTCTAGGTCGGTGAAATATGCCGTTGGTATTTTAATGGGGAGTGCATTGAACCTATAGATTGCTTTAGGAAGTATGGACATTTTGATGATGTTGATTCTACCAATCCATGAACATGGTATGTTCTTCCATCTCCTTACATCTTCCTCTATCTCTTTTTTCAGTGTCGTGTAGTTTTCTGCATATAGGTCCTTTACTTCCTTAGTTAAATTTATTCCTAGGTATCTTAATTTTTTTGGTGCGATGGTAAATGGAATTGCTTTTTTAGTCTCTGTTTCTATAGTTTCGCTGTTGGTGTATAGAAATGCCATGGATTTCTTGGTTAATTTTGTATCCTGCTACATTGCCAAATTCATTTATTAAGTCAATTAGTTTTTTAATGGAGTCTTTTGGGTTTTTTTATGTACAATATCATGTCATCTGCAAATAAGGATAACTTTACTACTTCTTTTCCAATTTGGATGCCTTTTATTTCCTCCTCTTGTCTAATTGCAATGGCTAGTACTTCCAGTACTATGTCAAACAGGAGTGGCGAGAGTGGGCATCCCTGTCTTGTTCCTGTTCTTAGAGGGAATGGTTTTAGTTTTTGCCCATTGAGTATAATGCTGGCTGTGGGTTTATCATATATAGCTTTTATTATGTTGAGGTATGATCCTTGTACTCCCACCTTGTTGAGAGTTTTTATCAGGAAAGGGTGCTGGATTTCATCAAATGCTTTTTCTGCATCAATTGATATGATTATATGATTTTTATCTTTCAGTTTGTTTATGTGATGTATCACGTTTATTGATTTGCGGTTGTTGTACCATCCTTGCATTCCTGGAATAAATCCTACTTGGTCATGGTGTATGATCTTTGTGATGTTCATCTGGAGTCTATTTGCTAGAATTTTGTTGAGGATTTTGGCATCTATGTTCATGAGAGATATTGGCCTGTAATTCTCTTTCATTGAGTTGTCTTTATCTGGTTTTGGTATTAGGGTGATGCTGGCTTCATAGAAGGAGTTTAGAAGTGTTCCTTCCTCTTGGATCTTTTGGAATAGTCTGAAGAGGATAGGTTTTAGTTCTTCCTTGAATGTTTGGTAAAACTCTCCTGTGAGGCCATCTGGCCCTGGGCTTTTGTTTGCTGGAAGCTTTTTGATGACTATTTCAATTTCTTCCCAAGACACTGGTCTATTGAGATTTTTAGATTCTTCCTGATCGAGTTTTGGAAGTTTGCATTTTTCTAGGAATATGTCCATTTCCTCCAGATTGTTCAGTTTGTTGGAATAGAGTTGTTCGTAGTATTTTGTAACAATCCGTTGTATTTCGGTGGGGTCTATTGTTATTTCACCTCTTTCATTTCTGATTTTGTTTATTTGGGTCCTCTCTCTTTGTTTCTTGGTTAGCCTGGCTAGAGGTTCATCTATCTTGTTTATTCTTTCAAAAAAGCAGCTCTTGGTTTTGTTGATCTTATGTATTGTTTTTTTGGTCTCTATGTCGTTTATCTGTGCTCTGATTTTTGTTATTTCCTTCCTTCTGCTTACACTGGGATTTTCCTGTTGCTCCTTTTCTAACTCTTTGAGTTGTAGAGTTAGATCATCTGTTACCCTTTTTTCTAGTTTTTTTGCAATAGGCTTGTAAGGATATGAACTTCCCTCTCAATGGACGACTTCTTCTTTTTGGCTTCCCCTCAAACTTGTTCATGGGGGTGTTTATCTTTCTTGGCCTACTTTCCAGCATCTCTTTTCTTCTTATCACCATTGGGTAACATTGCAAGACTTGGAGAGCAAGGCTCCACTGCTGTCTCACCAAGATCCTATTAGTGTTTCTGATTTCTTGGGATATATTCCTAGAAGTGGGATTACTGGGTCAAATGGGAGTTCCATTTTTACTTTTTTGAGGAAACTCTATACTATTTTCCACAGTGGCTGCACCAATCTGCATTCCCATTAGCAGTGCACAAGGGTTCCTTTTTTTTTTTTTTACATATCCTCGCAAGCTGTATAGTGAAAATCTGTAGTTTTCTGTTTATATTTCATTAGAAAATTTACTTTAAAAATGACCTATAGGAAAAACAAGAAGTTACTGAATAGGAAAAGCTAAAATGGCAGGTACCAACCTGTAAATATTTGCACTGGATAGAAACCAAAAACTTCATTTTTTTAACTAGACTAATCCCTCCCAGGACAAGTAGAAACATGGTAAGTATTCAACAATTTCTCAATGTTTTTATAACAAAA